TTCTGCAGTTCTTCCAGGGAAGTCCCCAGTGTTAGCATTCATAGCTAGCTGCCCTTTTTCCTATTTAACAGAGAAGGTTCAAGTGCTTTCTGAGGAGTTTTCACTAATACTTGCTCATAATTCAGGCATAGTTTAGGGTAGTTCATTGTGCTAAGTAGAGGAAGCCCAAGGAGCAACCTTTGGTCCTCAGACCAACCAGGTAGCACCGATTGACTTGCACCCACCCTACCTTTGCTGTCCTGTGTGGTCCAGCCACATTACATAGTGCAGGATTTTTCCCACTGCCTGGCTTCCTCTAGTGCTGTGAAATCACTGGTTTTTGCTTTCCCATCTCAATTCAGATCTTCTGAAGTAGTCTGAAGCCTGTATGCAGTGTAATTCCACCTGAGCAGAGCTTTTCATCCTGTAAAGCTGACCCCATATGATGCACATGGAGGTGGGGTACCATGAAGACATGTGATGCTGATTAAGGGTACAAATCCTGCTTAGGCTGGAGTCAAAAATCAGAGGAGGGATTCAGATCTGATGCAGTGCTGTTAGTGTTTCCTTTTGTGTGAAAAACTATAGAGTGAACTCTTCTCTTGGAGCAGTGCAGTTGGTGATCTCCCAGCAGCACCAGAAAGCAAGCAGGAAATTGGTCAAAATTAACAAAGATTAGCTTTTATATTTTATCCAGTGAGTAGTAATAGTTGAATTAAATTAGTTTTTTAATACTGCAAATTTTCACATGCTATGTTGAGATATCTAATCAACTTCTGCTTTAAACCTTTATTTTGCTATATCCATAAATCCAAGGAGAATCTTTTTTCACAATTTTTTTTTACACCTGAACTAGCGAAAATTATAATTGCTTTGAATATTCCCCATATATTTTCTGCTTTAACTATGTTATTTTGTCCTACTCTTATTTCCTTTAGTTCAAAGTTCCTGCAGCAACAAGTGCCATTATAACAAATGGTAAGAATATAGCTTATATATTTTTTTCTAATAGTTTTTGTATTGTATTTTCAGTGAAGGGGTATTGATAGAAGTAAAACTGTCGTTTCTTTTACAACCTCTATGGAGTGTAGACTGAATCTGATAATACTGCAGGATTATTTAAATTGCTTATGCATGGGATGAAGGTATTAAACCATTATGAATTTCATTTTGTTCAAATACATAGCTTGGATTTTCTGTGATTAAAAGTTTTTATTAGCTGCAATAATAAGAGTATTTTGGTTACAGGAAATAGCTGCATAAGACCTGATGTAATAATTATATCTTGTTGGTATCTTATATTTTTGAGCTATAAGTTAGTGTAATGAATTGTAGTAAGTTTCATCTTCCCCTCTTCCATATATTTTTTTGGTTTGTTTTTTTTTTTCTAGATGGCATAGGAATAAATCCTGCACAGACAGCAGGTAAGTTATTATCTATGAAGCCCAGTATTAAAAACCTCAGTTATTTTACTTTCAAACCAATGCATAGCACTCAGGGGTTTTTGTGTTTTAAGTTTTGATTTCTTAAATGGAAAAAGCATTACCCAGGAGTTGGAAACTGCAGTCAGTGTAGTGTGTAAAGGCTAAATCCACTGTTGTTCAGCGTTTGTTTATTTACGTCTGTGAAAAAAATGAGGCACTTCTGATCTTCAGAGCTTAGCTATTTAGTCTGCAATGCTGTATTTCATGCTACTGAAGTAACAGTAGTCATTTTTTTTCCCCACTACACCTCATTCAGTAGTATTTGCTATTTTAGCAGCACATCTCATGATATATGTGTAAAAAATAATACTCTTTTTTAAAGCAGGAACTCTAGGTGCTTTGGAAAGCATATTTTTAAGAAGCATGTCTTAGAAGTAAAGAAGGACAGTACCTGGTGGTTAGAAGAGCAGATGCTTGACATTAGTTTAAGGAATTTCTTGGTGTTGTAAAATGAGCTATTTAAGTGGAGTGACCCATTTCTGAGGTCTTTGATTGCAATTTGAAAATGAAGATCAAGTGGCTTTCTGCTCCACTGCAGGTTTCTATCCTTCCGTGCTTGCCTTAGGACACCTGGATTGTAGCTTGTCAGGTGCCATGCCTCAGGCAGACTCCTTAGCTGATGCTATCCTCGTTATGATGCCATCATCAAGTGTATGAAAAACATGTAATTAATAATATAGTTTAGCTACTAGATCATCATCCATAGAGCAAGTCACATTTTCACATGTCCATGGAAGAATACTTGGGCAAAAGAGGTAAAGTTGCTTAAATGTTTAAGTTATACTTACATTGTTTCTCTTTGCCATATTTTTATTTTGTATTATTTTGTATTTTGTATTTATTTGTATTATGTAGTTCAAGTCAGTTGTAGCTTAATCCTGCAAAGTAAATGTATTTAGTACTACTTGACTTCTGAATTAAAACATCCATGTTGTAATTCATCATGCGTACAGATACGTATATTGAATTGACGTCTCTAATTTATTTGCTTTACCTCTCCTAAATTCTTAAAATGTTGAGGAATTATTCAGTAGAAGTATAAAATAGATTCTCATAATAGAGGAACAGGTGAATCAAAAGCGTCTAGAAACAAAATGTTTTCATCACAGCCTTTATTTTATCTTATCTTCAAATGTAAGATTAGCCACATGGATTGCACATTGATTATTTTTTTTTTGACATTGCCCTGACAATGCTGTGTGGTGTTGCCCTTAAACTGGCAGGGGAAAAGCAAAACAACAACAAACAAAAAACACTTTCCCCCCAAAACCAACCAAATAAAACAACCTGCACCAAACCTAAGACCCAGCCCAAAATCCCTCCTCAGTTTACAAGTAAAAAAAAATAATTTAGATGCAATTTAATGTTCAGCCTTATCAGTTGATTTATCAGAAGCTCAGTTGTATAGAAGGTACATTTTTCCCCTTCTTTTTTTTTTCTTTCTTTAGCGTATATTAAAGTTCCTGTAGATTAGACAGTTACTTTAGTCTTCAAAAACTTCCCAAAATAAGATTGTGTAGGAATAAAATCTTAGTAATCCATGGGGATTTCAGAGGTTTTGTACTGTTCCACTATTTCCTCAGTTTTCTGACTAAAAGTATTCTTCGGAGTAAGAGGGATAAGATGAAATTCCATGGAACCATGAAAAATGTATTTCTGCTATATTAGAGGAATTACAACAAAAATTAAGACTGAACTAACATTGTTATCCCTTAAATGTTTATTCTTGTTTAGATAACATTTTACTCGGTTGGCTGGTCGGTAACAAGTTCTGTTTTGTTTGTTTGTTTAGGAAATGTGTTTCTAAAGCATGGTTCAGATCTACGGATTATTCCCAGAGACCGAGTTGGGAGTTCTTAACATCTACTGAATGTTCTAGAATAAGTGACGTTGCCTTGCAGCGAAAGTCTATTTATTTTGGAATTCCAAAATGCAACTAATAAATTGGCCTTTTTAAAGCTAGGAGAAATTACTTCCCAGGCTTTGATTTTTTTTGAAACAAAGATAAGTTTTCAATTTCTTCTTAAAATAGATTAAATCATGCACTGATTCTTCCCAGACTAGTAGAAAAATGGGCCGATTGCATTTTTGTGTTCTGGAAATGAATCCTGATGGATTTCTCTATAGGTGTTACGGACGCCACAAGGCTAAACACAGAGCCATGATCAATAGATATTTAAAATATTGGATATTGTAGAGCCTACTTTGTGGAAGGGGGCACTGTGTTATGATTTTGCTACAAAGACATTGTCCCTACTGAGTGCTAAAACTTCTTTCTTTTTATTTTTTCTAAACTTCCATGTTTAGAGGAACAGTTTTCACGTGGTTCAATTATTAAGCTTAAATTGAGGAGAAATTTCGGGGGTTTATTACTCAAATAAGTAAATAACTGCCAAATGTTCCAAAGTAATTGTAAGATTTAATTGCTGCAAGTATTAAAGAAAAAGAAGGTAGAGGTTTCTGTATGGTATTCCATAAAGTTAAATGAAATGCAGTTTTGGAGAATTTATAAGAACTCATCTCCTCACATGAAGTGCCATCAGCTAAGAAGGACTGTAGCACAATTTGGGAGTTGGTAGGTACTGGTCAAATAGGTCATTCCTTTTCCAGTAAACTAATGCTGGTTCTTTTTAAAAGTCTTGTTTTGTTACTGCATGTGACATGGAAAATAGCGTCAAATTCACTGAAATGTTTGTCTTCAGATTATATGCTTCTTGTTTCTAAATTGCTGGGGTAAACTATCAGATGGTGTATTATAATCAGAGAAATTGCTGCTTTTCTTGAGCTGGTAATCTACTTGGTGATTTAATATTTTTTTGGCAAAATGTTAACCAGTTGCATTTTTTCTGTCTTATTGAGTTTAACAAAAAGAACAACGGGTAATGTACTGCCTCGTTAAATGAGTCTTGTCATAAATACAACTGTTCTGTGCAATAATCATGCTCCAGAAAGATGTTCTGATAATGTGTCAAATAGTGCAGAAGTACAAAATTCCCTTCTGAGTGTGTGTAAATTGAGTATATAGAGAAAAACTCTTTTGAAAGTGATACTGGACTGTAAACATTTTCCAGTTCTAAGATAAACTGTAAATTTCTGAATTTTCCTTTATTTTAATAAACAATTATATGAAGAAAAGTGCATACTTTGTTCCTCTTTCTTATTCTTATTTTGAGAGTAATTAATAACTGTGCCCTTTAACCTTCTAATCAACATGCTTTGAGATTCATTTCAAACCAAAAGAGCCTTATTATGCAGAATTCTGTAGAACACTGCCCTTAAGGGCAGGGTGCGTGGTTTCTGTAAATCTAGTGCAACAATATAATTAGGATGAACAAAATTAATTGCCTATAATTTTTGTCTGGAAATCTCTTGACTGAATACTTGCAAAAACACCTGCTACTGGAATAAAACAAACAGAAACCTTTTTTATTTTTATTTTTTTTTCCTATCTAAAGGTGCAGTATATTGTTCAAAAGGAAAAAAAGGCCAGGGTGATTAAACACATTTTGAAACTAAGATGCTTTGATGCTTGTGAAAGAGAAGGTGAGGGCCAACATTTGTTACATTGTTACATAGGTAGTAACACAGATACACTGCACTGCCAGTAGTTTATGTAACATGCTAAAGATCTGCTCATTTGTAACAATAACTGGTCTTTATAGTACTTCTGTACGCTTTACACCTTTGTCTAAGTATGGTCTCTAAAATCTGAACTTTTCTCTTTGGTAAAGAGGATCGATTTTGGTAGTAAAGTGTATTTAGATGTTTGCAAGTTGATTTGAGGTTTACAAGTTCATTTTGTTATGTACAAGTCATGTTTGTGGTTGTATTGAAAAAATGTAAGTTCAGAAGCAGACTTCCTAGGACTGGGCAATCACCTTAAGATTGTGAAGAGAGCTGTACTCAGGCTTGTACTGATTGTTTAACTGTGCTTTAGGGAATACTTCGGAAATCAACTCAACCTGGAATTTGCAGTATCTTTGGCTCTGATTATAACTGATGTTAAATGAAAGACTACTTTTGTTTGTGATTAACTTTGCCACGTCTTTCCTGAAGTCAATTTAAAGGGTCTTTTTTCTGTGTTTTATATTTGTAAAAGGCTGCCTGGTTTACACTCTGTGGAAAGAAATTTTGGCAGAATCATAAAGCATTAATTCTGCATCTGCAGAATCTGCACTGATGCAATTCTGCATTGATGTGAAAAGTCCCACCAAAACTTTTCAAGAGCCATATCATTCTTTTGGTTTATACAATATTCTAGAAGTCTTACTTTTCTCGAATCTATTATTTGGTAGAATTTTAAGATACCATGGAAATTTTTCAGGGAGGGACATGCAGTGATCTGATGAAGTACAGAAGAACTGCAAAACCTGGGAAACGGCCTTGGTAATAGTTCTGTTGGTACTATGGCTTTCCTCTTTGTGTTTCCAAGCTACAAAATCCAACTATATTCTGTCTTTGAGATTAACAGGCCATTTTTCTGTCTTGTTGCTGCTAAATAATAACCATATAAATTGGTGGCAGTAGGGCTCGAGAAATTTTCTTCTTTGTATTTATATTGATAGTGAGAATGCAGCTCCAGCTGCTGCTCCAGTGACATAGTGAGCAGTTGGAGTGGGAGTAGGAGCTATGCCAGTACAACTGCAGAATGTTGGTGAATTCTGAAGGTTCTGGGGGCACAGGAGGGCTTTGTATGGCAGCAAGTGAGTGGCTATCAAGTGGAGCACTTGAATGGGGCAGTGGAAAAAAATAAAACCTGTGGTCATCCTAGAGGCACTGTAAAGACTGTTTGTCATGATTTAGGCCTAACACAATAAAAAAGAAACAGCTCCATGGCCGTTCACTCAGCTTCCTCACACACACACTGTGGGGTGGAGAGGACAAGACCCAACTAGAAGCTTATGGGTCAAGACAAAGGACAAGGAGGGTTCTTCACCAATTAAGGCCCCAGGCAAAACAGACACAACTTGGGGAAAAAATAATTAAATTTCACAGTAATCAAACACACACAGGACACAGATAACACAAAGAGCAGGGCTTGCGTATGTTACCCCTTCTTCCTGGGCCCAAATCACTTTGTTCCCAGTTTCCCTCAATCCTTCCCCCCATCGGCACAGGGGCTGGGGTTTAGAATCACTTCACAGGCTGGTGGTTCCTTGTCACAGTTTGACTCAGGTCTGACAACAATGCTCTCGATCCCCCCTCCCCCCAACCCAGGTAGGGAAGGAGAGAGAGAAAAAGAGAGAGACTTGGCTGGATTGAAAACTAAACTACACAGCTTTAATTAAAACACTAATGAATGATACAAGAAAATATATACAATTATATACAGATATATGGGCAAAAGCCTCTTGCCTCCCCCCACCCCAGCAACTCCCACAGCACTTCCCTGAACTGGGAAGAGTCCCGAGGAATCCTGAAGCTGCTGCTGGAGAAAGCAGAGAGTTATGGGGGTCACGAGAGATCAAGCCTGAGGATCGACGGTGATGGATGAACAGAGTCCTCCCCGGACACCGGCCATGGAC